CGTGGTTTTTACGAATGAAAAAACCTGGGGAAAATATAAAGCCCCTCTCTTGCAAATATAGCTATCCCAAGAACCATCTGAGTGTGAATAGCATGGAGATGAATGTTCTACCTGGGCACCAGTCCAGCAATGGCAACACCATCTATAGCTACCACGTGACAGATAATCCATGCTGCCCTCAGAAGAGTGATCTGGGTAGCAAGAGTGGAAAGATTACTTGCCCCTTACCAGAAGATGCAGAGCTTGTTCAAAAGAAAGCTTCAGTGGATACTATTATGGTGATTGTGAAGATCCTGGAGGAAGTTCAGTTCATAGCAAAGCGCTTCAGGAAACAAGATGAAGGTGAAGAGATCTGCAGTGAGTGGAAGTTTGCTGCTGCTGTCATAGACAGATTATGCCTGGTTGCATTTACCCTTTTTGCTATCATTTGCACATTTACAATACTTATGTCTGCTCCAAATTTTATAGAAGCTGTTTCAAAGGACTTCGCATAAAGATTTCAACGATGACCATGATAATTTAAAAATTAATATTGCCAGTAATTTTGCTAGATAATTTAACTCAAATAGAGAAGTGTACTTATATGTGCTAACATACACAGAAGGGGATGAAAATAATTTCAGGAGGTAATTATTCCTGATGTTAGTGATTGTAGTTACTGAATAGCAAACGTATTTATCTCTGTTACTTATTTCATAGACTAGTGCCACAAGTAATTATGTCACGATCTGTAACAAATGATAGATGAGAATTCAAATCTAAGGTATATTTATTACAAGTTAACACTATTATCAATGTGTTACTATGAATTTGTGAACTTTTAGCTATTGTCAATAATTTAAATGAACATCAATGACTATAAGCTTTACAGAATTTTATTGTTTTCAGTATATTTGTGTTTTATTGTTTTTGTGTAGTGTGGCTGTGACATTCACTTCTCAGATATGACAGACATATCTCCAGTTTTATGATGCTATATATCATATTTATGAAAATAAACTATCACCATGTTAGCTCTTAATAACTCAGTGACTGGAGTGTTTTCTTAGTATATATGTTAAGAGAATGTATTTTTCCCAGAATGTTACTTCTGCTTCTTTTTTTTTTTTTTTTTTTTTTTTTTTTTTTTAAATCAGGAAATATTTGTTGTGAGGTTGAAAAAAAAAATATTAATTCTTCATGCTGACAATCATATATATCATTAATGGTGCCTTCCTAGCTCTCCCACTGCTTAATTGTTGCTGTCATCCTGAAACTCTACTTACTTTGAAATATTTCTGACCTCTTGGGACACGGTTGCTAACCTAAACCTGATTAACTGTGTAATTAGGGCAAAAATCTTGGCGCTGCATGATCTGTAGAAAATTTGGCACTGATTTCTTTGGGTTCAGATTTCAATACTACAACTGAAGTGGTATTTTTTGAAAATTCTATTAGTACAGTCCCCTTTCCAACTTGGTAAGTTTGGCTTTGTTAAAAGACGTGTATAAAAGACCAATTTTATTTTGCTACATTTTAGTGTAACAGTGTTTATTATTGTCGTGGTGTGAGCCCACCCAGCCAGCAACTAAGCCCCACACAGCTGCTCACTCACCCCTATCCTGTCCCCTGAGGGATGGGGAGGAGAAAATACAACCAAAAAGGCTGGAAGATCGAGACGAAGGGCAGGGAGGGCTCACTCACCAGTTATGGTCATGGGCAAAAGACAGAGTCAACCTGGGGATAACAACAGGATAATAAGAGATACAACCACGTCTTAAAAACAACACACCTTCCCCCGCCATCCCTCTGGGCTCCCCGGGCTCATCTTTGCTCCCTCTTCCCCCCCCAGCAGCGCAGGG